GTGGGTCGCGGGTGGGTCGCCGGGGGTGTCTCGGGGTGGGTCGCCGGGGGGGGTCTCGGGGTGGGTCGCCGGCGGGTCGCGGGCGGGTCGCGGGTGGGTCGCGGGTGGGTGAGGGGGTGGGTCGCGGGTGGGTCGCCGGTTGGGTCGCGGGGTGGGTCGCGGGTGGGTCGCGGGGCGGATCGCAGGTGGGACGACGACAACAACAAACAACAACAAGAATCCGCATCGCAGAATTCCACTTCAGCCATGCACCCAGGGACAGTGAACGACCGTTCAGTTCAGCCACCTCACTCAGATAAGAAGAGGCGCCATGAAATCTGGCGAGATACCACGGCCCCCGCTATGATATCCATCCCCCCCCCTAGCCAGAACCCCCCTCTTGACTCTTGGCCGCCCCCAAATGACGTCGGGGGTCTGGGCCCGGCAGGCCCTGGCCGGGCCATGCCGAGGCTCCGGCGAGCCCCGGCGACCGCGACGCCGACGAGCTTTTGGGCAATGCGTTACTGTGGCCTGGCCAGGGGGGGAGACGGAGAAGGGACTGGGGGGGGAAGGAGGGGGGAGCAGAGGGCAAGGGCTTGGGAGGAAGAGGAGGAGGAGGAGGAGGAGGAGGAGGAGGAGGAGGAGGAGGAGGAGGACCAGTGTAGACTCAAGACCCATCAACGGTGTTGAAATACACCCTCCCTCCAAATTCCCTTCGCATGGGCCCCTACAATCACGGAGGGAAGTGCCCCGTTGGAAGACCACCGTTTGAAAACCCAGAACCGTGCCAAAACACCAATCCTGGGACTTCAACGCCGCGAATCAACGTTGCGGTTGCGCCCTGACGATCCTGAGTCGTGCCAGAGCACCACCCCTGGGACTTCAACACCGAGAATACACATGGCTGTTGCGCCCTGACAATCCCACGTCGTGCCAAAACTTACCTGCTGGGACGTAAGCCATGACAATATTTGAAACTGCTGTAGCTTCAGAAGACGAGTGTGCGCGGCGCTATGCTGCTGCGTCTGGACGGATCAACCTGACTGCTGCGTCTTGACGATCCGTGCCAGAACGCCGTTCCTAGGACTTCAACACATAGAATCAAGGTAGCTGCTGCACCCGCATAATCCTGAATCCTTCAAAAACACCGTTTCTGGTGCGTTGATGATGGGAACCCGTGAAATTCTCAGAACTTTGTTAAACGAATGTGCGCCGCGCTATGGCGAGAGACACATTTTGAAACGGAGCCGCCCTCCACCCGTGCAACTCTTGCAAGCGTTCAACCGCGAATGTGCACGGCGCTGGGGCGAGAACCACATATTGAAACAAGGGGCCGCGCTCCATCCGTGAAATTCTGACGCACGTGCGTGGCGCTATGGCGAGAGCCACGTTTTGAAAAGGAACCGCTCTCCATCCCGGATACTCTTGCAAACTTTTAAGGCGAATGTGCGCGGTGCGAAGGCGAGGGCCGCATGTTGAAACGGACCCACCCTCCATCCGCGAAGCTGCTGCAACAGGACCACAAACGGTGAGGAGGTCTCAGGCGGAACGCCCAGCCCACCCTACCGACGCGCATCGGAGTGCCACAGGGAGAAATAGTTTCAGAGCGAACAGGTATGGAGGAGGAGGAGGAGGAGGAGGAGGAGGAGGAGGAGGAGGAGGAGGAGGAGGAGGAGGAGGAGGAGGAGGAGTAGGGGGGAGGGACGGGGGAGGGATGCAGGAGGAGGACGAGGAGGAGGACGAGGATGGACTGGTTGATGGCTTGCGACTCCCTGCCCCTCCAGGGGAGCGGGGCCGGCCGGCCACCAACCTTCTCGCCCCTCGTGATGGTGGCAATCGGGGTGATGATCACAGCCGTGCCTCGGGGCAGCCAGGACACTCTCATTCGGCCCCTCCCCGCTCCCCCGCCCTGAGAAGAACGGGAGAGGGGAAGGGAGGGGAAAGGATGAGAGGGGGGGGGGTGGAGGAGGACGAGGAGGAGGAGGAAGGAGACGGAGGTGATTGGGTGGGAAGGGAAGGAGGGGAACGGGATGAAGGTAGTGCGTCCCCAATGGCATTTGGACAGATTTGAGACAATTCCCCCTGTTGCTGCTGGCCCTCCTCGAAAACATAACATACCCCCTCTCATGCTCACTGTGTTGTTTCTCTGACGTTGATCCTCTTCCTTCTCCTCCTCCTCCTCCTCCTCCTCCTCCGCCGTCTCCTCCCGTCATCATCAGCATCATCAGCACCAGCATCAGCATCAGCATGAGCATCAGCAGCATCAGCATCATCATCAGCATCATCATCAGCAGCATCATCAGCATCATCATCAGCATCAACATCAGCATCATCATCATCAGCAACAGCAGCATCAGCATCATCATCATCAGCATCAACCTCACCATCAGCAGCATCATCATCATCATCATCGTCGTCATCATCATCATCATCATCATCATCATCATCATCATCATCATCATCATACTCATCAGCATCATCATCAACATCATTATCATCATCATCATCTTCTTCATTGTCATCATCATCATCATCATCAACATCATCAGTATCATACTCATCAGCATCATCTTCAGCAGCAACATTACCATCATAATACACATCTGCACCATCATCATCACCATCATCACCATCATCATCATCATCATCATCATCATCATCATCATCTGCATCATCATCAGCATCATCATCACAACGACCATTATCACCATCATCACCATCAGCATCAGCAGCATCATCATCAGCATCAGCATCAGCATCAGCATCAGCATCAACATCATCATCAACATCAGCATAAGCATCAGCATCATCATCAGCATCAGCATCAGCATCATCATCAACATCATTATCATGATCATCATCATCATCAGCATCATCATTATCATCATCATCATGATCATGATCATGATCATGATCATGATCATGATCATCATCATCATCATCATCAGCATCATCATCATCATCATCATCATCATCATCATCATCATCATCATCATCATCGTCAGCATCATCAGCATCATCATCACCGTAATCCTGCTTATAGGCCCCTCTTCTTCGCCGACGTCTCTCTTCTGCTCTGGCTCCACAGCGCTCCCTGTAACTCCTCGCCGCGCAACCAGGCGTGTGAGTGGTGCGTTCTGGCCTTTTTCGCAATGTCTCACATTTTGAGGCGTATAGCTTCATCTGGCACTCTGTGGCTTCCACGCCTCAGCTTGGCCTTATCACCGCACCGACGCATCACACCATACACGATTCTTCTGATTCCCAGAACTGGAGGGCACGTCATCTTGAATCTCTGCACCTCGCCCGGGCGCTGCGCAGGTGCAGTCCGCAGTGCTGCGAGGAGAAGCTGGCCGGCCAGCGGGGCCAGGCGTCCCCGCAGCGGCTCGCTGGACGTCGCAGCGTGTCCGGCGAGCGCTTTCCTGCCCCCGGTCCCAAGTCGTTTGCCGCAGGAGTGCGCGCAGCTCCTGCTCGCCCTCGTCCTCGTCCTCGTCGCCCTCCTCCTCGTCGTCGTCGTCGTCGTCGTCGTCGTCGCCTTCATCGTCGACGTCGTCGTCGTCGTCGTCGCTGTCCGCCTGGCCGCTTGGCCCCATACAAAGCAGAAAACCGAATCCCCGACACAAGCCTAAGCCATAATTTCTCTGATCATTCCCAACTCGTTTGCCGCAGGAGTCCGCGCAGCTCCTGGGCAGCGCCTCCAAGGCTCGCGTGCAGCTCCGGGGCAGCGCTTGGGCACGGCAGGGGCGCTGTGCAGGCTGGCTTCGCGGCTCTTGCGCGCACTGGTGAGCAGTCGTGGGGGGGGGGGACTTGCAGCACGTCTGGGCGGGTGATGTCCCAGACGTCTCCAAGACGCGCGCCGCCAGCTGCTGGGCAATTCCTGGACGCACCGTCTCTCACGGGCTCGCACGCGGCTCCTGGGCAGCTCTTCCGCAGGGCCCCGCAGAGTCCCGGGCAGCGGGCCCCAGGCTCGTGCGCAGCTCCTGCGCAGCTCCAAGGCGGGCCCCTGGGATCCGAAAGTCCCTGGGGGCGTGAGTGGTTTCGAGCGTTTCCTCTTCCATCCCCCCTCCTTCCCCTTCGGGGAGGGGTTTATCATTGTTCTCTATTGAGAAACACCCTCGCCCCTAGGCGACCGGCAGCCAACCAGGTACGATGCCGACCCCCCCATCACCCCTGCACTTTAGGGCAACTAATTGGGTCCTGCTCGTGGGCCCCGCGAGCACTTCGGGTCTTTTTTTGTCAGGGACTGCGTGGGGGGCATTCTATCACCTGCTGTGCGCAGGGCCATCATCGGTGTCGAAAAATATATACAAATTGCACTGCACGAGTAAATCTGAATCATGCGCGGCCACTTGTCAGTTAGTATTGGTTTGCACAAGGACGGCGGGGGTGCTGACAGATCGCCTGCTGTGTGCAAGCCCACCAGACACCATGATGGCCACCCCGCCGCGATTGCGCACTGGTTTTCGATAAGGACGGTGGGGGCAGACATGCTTCCCGATGTGTGCCGTCACGTGCGCGGGCGCACCTGGCACACTCTGCGCGTGCCCCGAAACGTAGCGCACCTGGCGCGGCTGGAGCATGCAGCACACACATGGCCCTGGCACGGTTGGGTTCCAGGGGCGCCTGGCGCACCTGCCGCGCCTTGCACGCGTGGCACACCTCGTTCCAGCACCGCGCGCGTGGGGTCTGTTGCTGGTTCCAAGTAGCTGTCCATCCACAGGTGGAACACGCTGAGGCTTGGGCGCTTTTTCTGTGTCGGGGAGGGCGGGCGGGAGTGAGCGAGACAGCTTGCGGGCGGGGAAGGTGCCTGCCTTGATCACTGCTCCCCAATGATCAACACCCCTTCCCCCACCTGGCCGGCAGCCAGCCCAGAACCATGCGGCCCCCCCCCCCACCCACACCATCCCTGTCAATTACTCCGGCGGTAAGACCCCGCATGAGAATCGAACGTTCCCCTCGTTATTTCCTCCTGATTTTCGCGGATGCCCTCCTCCCGCCCTCAGTTGTACATCCTCCCCACCGTCTTCTTCGACCCCCCGTCGCCTCATCATCCTCGCCCTATCCTTCTCCTCCTCCCCCTCCTCCTCTTCCTCCTCTTCACCCGCCGCCTCCTCCACCCCCTCCTCGTCCTCCTCCTCCTCCTCCTCCTCCTCCTCCTCCTCCTCCTCCTTCTTTTCCTTTTCATTCTCCTCCTCCTCCTCCTCCTCCTCCTCCTCTTCCTTCTCCTTCTCCTCTTCGCCATCCTCCTCGTTATCCCTATATTTTCCTTCGTCTGCCTATTCTTCTCACGCACCACCCGCGCCCCCTGGCCGGGGCAAATCGATTTTCCTCGTCGCCCTCGCCGCCGCGCCCGGCAAGGGCGCGTTCGCCGACGCCTGAATCGCGTGGCCGTCGGGACAACCCTTCGGGCCAGGCCGTTGGGACACTCCCGCGGGCCGCTGGGGCGCGGGATCCAGCCGTTGGGGCGACCCCGCAGGTCTCGAGCTACTCGCGGCCGCGCTCAGGTCGGGGGCAGCACCAGGCCCAGATCGGCCGCGAGCTGCTCCGCCTCATCCCTGGACTTCACCGCTATCTTGTCGAACTCCTCGAGCGCCTTCCGCAAGGACGCCGGCGGCCCGCTTTCCAGGATGTCTCGCGGGGCGGCCACAGGATCAGCATGTTCCGCATGCACGTGGCGCGGGAGAGCACGACGTAGAGGTGCAGCCACCACTGGTCGTCCGACATGCCCGTGCGGCCAGCGTCCTCGTCCCTCGCGCAGTCGATGGTGGCGCACGCCCTCGTCCCTTCTTAAGGAGAGGGTTCCCGCCTGAGACTTTTGCGGGCCCCCATAAAGAGGGGGCTCCCGCCTGTGACTTCCTCGCAGTTCACTCACAGACGAGGCTCCCGCCTGATACTTCCCCCATAGTCAAGCCTCAGGAACCCAAAAGTGACGACAGTTACACGGATGAGGATGACCCGTTCGAATTGCCAACATGACGTGCGGACCCCATAAGGAGGGGGCTGCCGCATGAGACTCCCTCGCAGTCCACTCACAGACGAAGCTCCCGCCTGATACTTCCTCCATATTCAAGCCTGAGGAACGCAAAAGTGACGACAATTACAAGGTTCCGATGACCCGCCCGGGTCGCCAACATGAAGCGCGGGCCCTATAGGGAGGGAGCTCCCGCCCGAGACTTCCTCACAATTCATTCACAGACAAGATGATGGTGATGACCGATGGTGATGCTGGCCGATGACGGGGTGAATGCGTGAGTGAAGCGGAAAGTGGGAGGGAAGCGAGGTTCCTGCGCGGAGGCTGTCCAGAGAAAGCAAAAACCCCACTTTGGATGTTGGGCAAACAAAACAAAATGCACATTGCGGGGCCCACCCTGCCAACACCCTCCCCAACCCCTGTCAAAAAAAGACAAAACGACATGCACTTTGCAGCAACATCTGGACAGTGCGCTGGCGCCCTGTGACCACGTTGTATTGTTTGTTGAAAGGGATGGCGGGGCACCCTTCGTGAAGCCGCTTTGTGCAGGACCACCATCCGTGTCAAAAACAATGCATCGTGCACGTTGGGTATTGTGCTGGCCACCCGCGGTCATTTTTGTATAGCTTGTTGACAGGGACTGCGGTGGTGCCCGCATGATGATGTTTGCTGTGCGCAGGCCCAGAACAATGCTGACGCCCCCCACATCAGCATTTGCACCATGCGGACGGGGGGGCATCACGTTTTTTACAAGGATGGCAAACCAACCGCATGTGGAGCCCGCGGCGAGCGTCGCGCACCTGGCGTCCGCTTTGGTTCCCAGTGGCTGTCCATCCAGTGGTGACCCCTGGCTATGCCGAGACTCGGATGCCACTTGTGTGGTGGGAGGGCGGGTGGGAGTGAGCTAGACGGCTTGCGTGCGGAGAGGATGCCTTGACCCCTCCCCTGCCCCCTACCCCCTCCCCCTGAACGGGAAGGGCCGCGTGGTGTCAGAGGGTCTTTTGGGGCCTCGGCGAGAAGACCAAAATCATTGATTTTACTACGGTTTTGGTCACATGTTGGCCTCCTGGGCCCCCGAGGCTCCCAAGGCTGCACCGCGACGGTTGCCCCGAGAGGTGCCCATGAGGCCACAGTAGGCCTCCAAGAGGTTCCCAATATGCTCCCAAGAGGCCTCCAAGAGACACCCAAGAGGCCCCAAGTGGCCCCCCAGGGGGACCCAAGACGCCCAAAGAGGTCCCCGAGACTATCAAAAGACCCCCAAAACGCCCCAAGAGGACTCTAAGAAGCTGTCCAAGAGGCCTCTGGCCTTTCTGCTCGCTCGCCTCCTCCTCCTCCTCATATTCTTCCTCATCCGCGTATTCCTCCTCTCCCCTCCCTTCTCGCTCCTCCTCCCCCCTCTTCCTCCTCCTCCTCCTCCTCCTCCTCCTCCTCCTCCTCCTCCTCCTCCTCCTCCTCCTCCTCCCCCTCCTCTCCTCCTCCTCCTCTTCCTCCTCCTCCTCCTCCTCTTCCTCCTCCTCCGATTCCTCCTTCATCCTCACCCTCTTGGGTACGACGCCTTACCCAGCCCTTTATGACACTGCATGCTGCTCGACATCCCTGATCAGGGCAACTCGTCTGGGTATCGTTTCTGCATGGGTTGGTGAGGTTACTTTTCGTTCGCGAGCGACACGGAGCAACCGCGCGCCGTCAAAGAGCGAAGCGACTACGCCACGTCCTATCTGGTGAGGTTACGCGAAGCGTCTGGAATAGTCGAACACCTCCCGTCGTGACTTGTTCATGATGCGAGGACGTGGGGGTCCTCCTCCTCCTCCTCCTCCTCCTCCTCCTCCTCCTCCTCCTCCTCCTCTTTCCTCCTCCTCCTCCTCTCCTCCTCCTCCTCCTCCTCCTCCTCCTCCTCCTCCTGATCCTCCTCCCCCTCCTCTCCTCTCCTCCTCCTCTTCCTCCTCCTCCTCCTCCTCTTCCTCCTCCTCCGATTCCTCCTTCATCCTCACCCTCTTGGGTACGACGCCTTACCCAGCCCTTTATGACACTGCATGCTGCTCGACATCCCTGATCAGGGCAACTCGTCTGGGTATCGTTTCTGCATGGGTTGGTGAGGTTACTTTTCGTTCGCGAGCGACACGGAGCAACCGCGCGCCGTCAAAGAGCGAAGCGACTACGCCACGTCCTATCTGGTGAGGTTACGCGAAGCGTCTGGAATAGTCGAACACCTCCCGTCGTGACTTGTTCATGATGCGAGGACGTGGGGGTCCTCCTCCTCCTCCTCCTCCTCCTCCTCCTCCTCCTCCTCCTCTTCCTCCTCCTCCCCCCTCTTCCTCCTCCTCTCTCCCTCCTCCTCCTCCTCTCCTCCTCCTCCTCCTCCTCCTCCTCCTCCTCCTCCTCCTCCTCCTCCTCCACGCGAATTGGGTCACTCCTCATGCGAATTGGGTCACTCCCTTCGTGGTCGTGGGCGTCCTCCTCCTCCTCCCCCCTCCTCCCTCCTCCTCCTCTCCTCCTTCCTCCTCCCTCCTCCTCCTCTTCCTTCTCCTCCGATTCCTCCTTCATCCTCACCCTCTTGGGTATGACGCCTTACCCAGCCCTTTATGACACTGCATGCTGCTCGACATCCCTGATCAGGGCAACTCTTCTGGGCATCGTTTCTGCATGGGTTGGTGAGGTTACTTTTTCGTTCGCGAGCGACACGGAGCAACCGCGCGCCGTCAAAGAGAGAAGCGACTACGCCACGTCCTGTCTGGTGAGGTTACGCGAAGCGTCTGGAATAGTCGAACACCTCCCGTCGTGACTTGTTCATGATGCGAGGACGTGGGGGTCCTCCTCCTCCTCCTCCTCCTCCTCCTCCTCCTCCTCCTCCTCTTCCTCCTCCTCCTCTTCCTGCTCCTGCTCCTGCTCCTGCTCCTCCTCTTCCTCCTCCTCCTCCGGCTCTCTGGCGGCCGTTCGGGACGATCCCCGATCCCCTGAAACCACTCGACGAGGCGCAGCTGCCGAAACGCACCTCGAGGCTGGAAACCCGCCTGGGACCTGCAAAATCGCCCAACGACCTCGCACCTCGAGCCTCGTCCTCCCCCTCCCCCTCCCCTCCCCCTCTCTCTCTCCCCCTCCTCCCCCTCCCCCTCCTCCTCCTCCTCCTCCTCCTCCTCCTCCTCCTCCTCCTCCTCCTCCTCCTCCTCCTCCTCCTCCTCCTCCTCCTCTTCGACGGGGTGCCGAATCTCAGCACACCCTGCGGTTTCAGCCAACCCGGGGTGCCTACTGCCCCGACTTCCTTGAAGGTGCTGACCTCCGCGTCGAAATCGATCCTTCGCCGCTCCACGGTGAGGCCTGAGAGGGAGGAGGAGAGAGGAGGGCAAGAGGAGGAGGGGGGAGGAGGAGGGGGGCGGAGGAGGAGGAGGAGGAGGAGGAGGAGAAGGCGGAGGCGGAGGTGGAGTAGGAGGAGTAAGACGAGGAGGACGAGGAGGAGGAGGAGGAGGAGGAGGAGGAGGAGGACCAGCGTAAGCCCAAAAGTCATCAATGATGCTTGAGTAAACCCTCCATCCAAGCTCCCTCTTCATAGGCCCTTGCAACGGTTCATTTCCATTGATGGAACTGCCTCGTTGGAAGACACCCGTTTGACGACCCGGAAACATTCCAAAACAATGTTCTCGGGATTCCAACGCCCCGGATCAACCTGATTGTTGCGCCTTGACGATCCTGAACCGTGCCAGACACCATTCCTAGGATTTCAGCACAAAAAACCAACGTAACTGTTACACCATGTGTGGTACGTTAATGATGGGAATCCGTGAGACTCTTGAACATGTTATAAACGAATGTGCGCGGCGCGAAGGCGAGAGCCACATTTTGAGAAGGAACCGCCCTCAATCCGTGAAGCTCTTGCAACTGTTTAGAACGAATGCGCGCGGCGCTAAGGCGAGAGCCACATTTTGAAAACGACCCGCCCTCCATCTGTGAAACCGTTGTCAGCTTCTCAGCTTCAGAATCATAAATGATGAGGAAGTCCCAGGCGAAACGCCCAGCCCGCCCTAAAACTTGTCTCGGGGTGCGACAGGAAGAACAGATTTAAGGACAAGGAATGGAGAAGGAGGCGGAGGAGGACCAAAGAGTCATCACCGATGTTGGAATTGACCCTCCCTCCAAGCTCCCTCATCATAGGCCCCATACATCGGTTCATTTCCATTGAAGGAACTGCCTCGTTGGAAGACAACAAGCTGTGAAGATCCTGAAGCGTGACAAAACATTGTTCTCGCGATTTCAACGCCACGTCTCAACCTGACTGTTGCGTCTTGACGATCCAGAACCGTGACAGAACGCCATTTTCGGGAATTCAACAAAGCGAATCAACATAACTGTTGCGCCCGCATAATCCTGAATCCTACCGAAACACCATGTGTGGTACGCTGATCATGGGAATCCGCGAAACTCTTGCAACTTAAAAAAAAAAACGAATGCGCGCGGCGCTAAGGCGAGAGCCACATTTTGAAAAAAAACGCCCTCAACCCGGGCAGTGCAACTCGCCCCGGGCGGTTCCCCCAGTATCCGCCCCGCGGTTTCCCCAGTGACGTCCCCTTAGCTTAGCGTTGCTTATCTCATCTTAGCTTAGCTTAATTCATCACAGCTTAGCTTAGCTAGATGATGTTGATGTAGATGTGGATGTGGATGTAGATGATGTTGATGTGGATGTAGATGTGGAAGCTTAGCTTATTTCATCTCGCTGTTGATGTTGATGTGGATGTAGATGCATGTGTAGATGTTGAAGTAGCTTTCGGTTTAGATATAGATGTTGTTTTCCTAGATCCTCCAACTCCTAGGTAGGGTCGCACTGGGATGCTTTGAAAAACGAATGTGCGCGGCGCAATGGCGAGAACCACATTTTGAAAACGACCCGCCCCCAACCCGTGAAACTCTTGCAGATGTTTAACACGAATGTGCGCGGCGCTAACGCGAGAACCACATTTTGAAGACCACCCGCCCTCAATCCGCGAAGCTCTTGCAAATGTTAAAAACGAATGTGCGCGGCGCTAAGGCGAGAGCCACATTTTGAAAACCACCCGCTCTCAATTCGTGACAAAAATGTGCGCGGCGCTAAGGCGTGAGCCACATTTTGAAAACGACCCGCCCTCCATCTGTGAAGCTGTTGTCACTTCTTAAGCTTCAGAGTCATAAGTGGTGGGGAAGTCTCAAGCCAAACGCCCGGCCCGCACTAAAAACCAGCCTCGGGGTGCGACAGGGAGGAGTTATCTATAAGGAAAAGGAATGGAGGAGGAGGAGGAGGAGGAGGAGGAGGAGGAGGAGGAGGAGGAGGAGGAGGCAGAGGGAGGAGGAGGAGGAGGAGGACGAGGACGGGACGAGGCTCCCGTTAGCTCGAGCTCGAGGAAGAGAAATAGGCTGAGGAGGATGAGAACTAAGATCAGCAGCAGGGGGAGGAGACGAGAGGGGAGGAGGTCATCGGAGGCATTTGGCAATTGTCTCTAAGTTTTCGGATGTCCTCGGAGGCCCCCAGGGGTCTCGAGACGTCTGCGGGGGGGGGGAGGACGGGGCAGTGGGCGAGGAACAGGAGCAGCAGGAGGCCGATGTCTTTCGCCAGCTGCTCGAGGCACATGTTCGTGACCGACCCCAGCACGGAGTGCGAGTCTGGGGTCAGGTACTTGCCATCCGCTGTAATGGCGACGAAGTTCGAGGTGTTGAACTCCTCGGCGTCAATTTTGCAGAAGAGGGGGGACGGGGCAGACAAGGAGGATGCGCGGAGGGCAACTGGAGAGAACGGCGGCTCGTCCGCCCGGCCCGAATCCGCTCCACATCCATCCCTGGACCGCTCCCAAGGTGTATCCTGACACCCTCGCCTCGCCATCGCTCGGACGCCCACTCCCCGTGCCCGTGTCGATCTCGTGCGTGCCTGTTTTGTTTTGCCGGGTGATCCAGGATGCTCCTCGATGGTCCCCGCCGAGAAACGCGCACACGTCCGAGCGATGCCAAGTCGCTCTTCGAGGCGGATCCAGCCGTGGCGAGGAGAAGCCTCCAGGAGGGACGAAACACGCCCTGGGAGGCCCCCCCAGCTGCCTCGACTGGCCGTCCTCCCAGCGAGGAGGAGAGGGCGGACACGGGGGCAGGCTCGGAGGACTCCTCGATGTACTTGTGCTCCTTGGCGTCCAGGTACAGCCCGATGGGAAAGCCCGCGGCCTTGGCCTCCTTGGAGGGCACGATGTCCGCGGCGTAGTTGCCGGCGCACTTGATGGCGCCGACTCCGGCTGGGGCAGCGCGGTCGTACTCGTCGATGACCTTGCCCCGCGGCGGCCCCGGCCCTCTGCAGCAGGGTCGGTCGGCGTGAGACTCTGACACCGCGTGGGCCACTCGAGCCTGGCGATCCGACTTCGGAGCGTGTCCGCAGAAGTCCCGAGGGGTTATTCTGACCACCTACCAAACCACCCCAGCCCAGCCCGAAGGCCCAACTTTCGGGTTGGGGGGGGTACGGGTTCCACATGTGTTTTTTCAATATTCCCCGACGCCCTCGCCACTGGGAATGGAAGGCAAATTGGGGCCTTCGAGTTGGGTTGGAGTGGTTTGGTGGGTGGTGATATTTCCCGATTCGAGCCGTCACCGTTCAGATGAACGTGTTCAGACTGCTGCGCTAGATGAAGAGAAAACGTTGGATCTGAGCTGGACCCCCCTCCCCGGCGCGCGGAGCGCGCCCGGGGGGCCCAGCGCAGATCCCAGAAACCCGCGCGGAACGCCCATGTTTATGCCGTGTTTCTTCTGCGATGCATGGGCATCGTCGGCCTAGGTCGGGTGTGCGGGCAATGTTCTGTGGTTGTTGTTCGTCCGTGTCATCTTTCAACCTCGCCCTTTGGCGGCGCGCAGAGGGGGGCAGGGGGAGGGGGGAAGGCTTCTTGGAAGGAGGCTGCTTCTCAGGAGGCGCGGGCCTCGCACCTCCGGACAAGGCCTGCGCCTTCTGAGAAGCAGGGGTGCTCCTCAGAAGCTTTCCCCCCTCCCCCCTCCCCCAATGCCCCCCCCTTGCGCGCGCGGTCGACCCTCCCTGGAGATGCCCCCGGGCGCGAGGGGTGCAAGGGCTCTCCCTGCGGACCTCCCGCACGTCGCCCCTCGCCCCCTCGGTCGCCGGAGGCTGCGCACCCGCTCGTCGTCCTCCTCCTCCTCGCTCCTGCGCCTTCGTCTCCGGTCCTGCTCCTCGTCCTCTTCCTTATCCTCGTTTCCACTCCTTCCTCGTCATTCTTCCTGCTCCTCCTCGTCGTCCTCCTCGTCCTCGTCCTGGTCCTCCTCCTCCTCCTCCTCCTCCTCCTCCTCGTCCGAGCCATCCCTGCCGCAGCGCGGGTCGCTGGACATCGGCCGACGCCAGGCCGCTGGCGGCACCCGGCCCGGAAAACGCCCGCGAGGGGGGCCGCCGCCGCGTCGGCAGGACGCGGACCTGCCGCGCCAGGGCAGGGCAGGCGGGGGCCAGGAGAGCCCAGAGTTATGTTTGCGTATCGTTCAACCGATCCCCATCCCCAGCGGCGTGGCCTGGGCCCCGCTGGCCGATTCAGCCCCCCAGATGGGGATACATGGGCCGCTCCCTTCGGATGTCGAGAGGCGTTTTCCGAAACAGCAGGCCAGGCCCAGATACACGAGCATTCTAGGAAGAAGAAAAAGTTCCAAGAAAACGCCCAGGATCCAGTCCACATCTTTGATCCTGAGCAACATCTTGAGCGACATCTGGAGCTCATGAAAGCCGATGTTTTTTTTATGAAGATGTCTGATGGGTGTAAGTCGGATCGGCGATCGAAACGAATCGGATCGGCGGAAATCGGCAGCCAAATCGGGGAAAGTTGAATCGGCAGAACTCGGCAGGCCAGCCCACATTGGAATCCGAAGTCGAATGGAATCGGAATCGGAAGCCATCGACATCGATGCGAATCGAATCGGAGGCGCCGAACTGAGCCCTGGGTGTCCCAGGAGCAGCCAGCCAGACAGACCCTACCGAGGCCGAGCAGGAAGCATCGTCGGCCGACTGCTGGCCGCTCCGGCTGCTTCTGTGAAAGCCTCCTCCTCCTCCTCCTCCTCATCCTCCTCCCTCCTCTTCCTCCTCCTCCTCCTCCTCCTCCTCCTCCTCCTCCTCCTCCTCCTCCTCCTCCTCCTCCTCCTCCTCCCGTGACTCCCGCGGGTCTGCGCGGTTTCTCTGCTGCACGGTCGGGAACGCGTGCCTGGCGTGTCCCGGCGGCGGCGGCGTGTTGCGCCGCTCCGCGGGGCGGGCGGCCAGGGAAGGCTCGGGACGCTGCTGCTCGAGGGCCGGGACGTGGTCCGCCCGCCTCGCCGAGGCGTGGGCCAGAAGCGGCGGAGCGGCCCGCCGATCGCAGGCCCCCGACCGCACCTCCGCCTCTCGCCCCCCCGCGCGGGCCTTGCACGGGATCGGCGTGAGGCCAGCGGTCTTGTAGTACGAGCCGACGGGGGCAACGACGACCGCGAACGTGAACTCGTTGCTCGGCCCCAGGCCCAGCTGCGGCCCGCTGCCGAAGAAGACGGGGCGGGCGTACAGGGCACCGTTGCTGCCGTACGGCGGCACGAAGTCCAGGTTCGCGATGACGGCCCTGTCGATGGCCTCGTGGAACATCGCCTGCGGCATCGCCGGCATGCCCAGACGCGCGCAGCCACGCATGAGCCTGTCGTAGTTGGCCTTGTCGTTGAAAACAACCACCTTGCCGTCCTTACAGTGAAAGATCTTCTGCCCTTCGAAAACAGCCTGGCCGTAGTGCAAAACGTTTGCCATCACGTGGAGCTTCATGTGGAAGTCGGACTGCAATTCTCCTTTGTCCCACTCGCCGTCCTTTTGGCGGAGTAGTATGGCGTCTGGCTGCGCGCAAAGTGCCCCCCCCCCCCCCCCCCCAAGTACTCCCGGCTGGCCTTAATAGCCCCCCGAAGTAGCCCCAGCTGGCCTCAACAGGCACCCCGAGTATAGTCTGGGGCGGCCTCAACACCCCAGCCCTTGGGCGCGGAGCGCCTCAGGGGCGCCGCCGGAGGCGGCGCCAGGGTGTTGAGGCCGACCCGGGCTATTCGGGGGACCTGTTGAAGCCAGCCGTGGCTACATCCCAGACCCCCGACATCGTACCTTTTTCGCAACGTCGACCCCCAGAGGTCTGGACCCCTTCTGCAGGGCAATTTTTTCGTCCTGGGTTGTTGTTTGAAGGTCCCGGGGCCCGGTGAGGGCCGCCCCGAGGCCGAAAATAAAGAAAAACCTCCCGTCGTGATGTTTTCACAGCGCGAGGGAAGAGCATGCTACGCATGGAACGAAGTCAATGATAAGGTGAGCGATGAGGCTATGATGCCTCTTTTGATTCTGAGCCGTTTTGATGCCCACTCGTGCCCACCCCGTCCCGTCTTCAGGGACTTCGCGTCCCCCTGTGATGGTGGGATGGGCAGGCGGGATGCAGACGGGGTGGGGGCCTTGTTTGAGGCTAGCTGGGACTAGCTGGGGGGGCTGTCTGCGCGCAGGCCGAAGCAGTACCAGACAGGAGGCGAGGCCGGCCTGTCCAGAGGGCCAGGGGCCCGTCCAGAAGGCCCAAGCTTCCTTCTCGCAGGGCCAACGGTGTTGAAGGGGCCCAGGGACACACAAGTAAACAGACGCAAGCCCCAGGATTCCCCACATGTTGCATATGTTCTGGATGTTCGTCGTCGCTTCCACGTTCCATCTGTTCCACTCTTCTCCTGGGGAATCGACGATGATTTGTGTCTGTGCTTCTGGTTGTCCCCCTCCTGAGGTATTGGCGCCCTCCCAAAGCCCACCTCCCCTGGTTCCAGCGCGCCTTGGCGCTGCCCCGGCTCCTTCCACGTGTACTTGACAAAGCAGTATGTGTCGTGCTGCGAGAAGAAGAGGCCGCCCCAGTCCAGGCCGGCGCCCCCGACCTTCTGCTTCTTCTCCGGCGCCCCAGACATGCCCTCTGCTCGCTTTTATCTCTTCGATGAGTCCTGGATGGAACCTGCCTCGAGCTTGAGCCCACTGAGCACCAGCAGTGGGAAAAAGAGAGAGAGGGTGGATGGGGGGAGCGGAGAGAGACAGAGAGAGAGAGATCTATATACATATATATATATGTACACACACGCAGGGACAGAGAGAGAGAGAGAATCAACACAAATAGAGAGAGAGAGAGAGAAACAAATAAAGAAAGGGAGAGAGAGAGAGAGAGAGGTGAAGGAAGAGGAGCAAGATGATGCCTTTGAGGAAGAGGACGAGCAGCAGCAGCAGCAGCAGCAGCAGCAGCGGCGGCAGCCCCGGCGGCAGTACAAGAGCAGGAGAGGAGGAGAGGGCTCTGGAGCAGGAGAGCGAGGAGGGGAAGGACGTGAGAGCGCGGAGGAGGACAGGGAGCACAAGGAGGAGGACAAGCGAGGAGGAGCGTCCTGTTCCCGAAGGCGACGGCGAGGGGATAATGCCTCGTGCGAGAGTGGTGGGCAATGGCTGCCCGGCTGCGCACCCGTCATCACCCGTGGGGCAGCAGTGGAGAATCGCGAGCCGCGGCGGCCTGGCTGCGTGCACGTCATGGCCTCTGGAGCAGCATGCAAGAACGGCGAATAGTGGCCTCCAGGAAAGGCGCCCACCAACTAGAGAGGCGGGCAGTGGCAGTCACGCAACGGGCCCTGCATCAGCTGCGAAGTGCCCTATGAAAATGCCGCCCGGAGCCAGCTTCAGGCAGCTCGCCCGAAGTCGCGAAGCTTCCTTCGGTCCTTCCCCTCGTCGCGCCCCCTGCTTCTCTTCCTCCCCCGTCGTCGCGTCTCGGCCTCCTCTCTTTGCCTCCTCATCCTCCCCTCCCCATGTTCTTCTCCAGGCAGGAGAGTTGAGACCACGGCAACTCAAAATCGGCCCCCAGGTCCACCCCCGGTCCAGAGGCGCACATCTTTCCGAGCTGCGTCCGGGGCGACAGGGGGGCCCCGACGGCCAACCACCGTTGTCTCAACTAACCCTCCCCTGACCCTCCTCTCAATCCTCCATCCTCTATCCCCCCTCCCCCTTCCTCCCTCCTCCTCCTTCTCTCCTCCGCCTCCTCCTCCTCCTCCTCCTCCTCCTCCTCCTCCTCCTCCTCCTCCTCCCTCTCCTCCTCCTCCCTCTCCTCCTCCTCCTCCTCCTCCTCCTCCTCCTCCTCC